CCCCCAAACTTAACTCCCAACCAATGTGGGACTTTGGCATTTTGCCAAACTTCAACAAAAATATCCTCTCGAAACCGAACAACAAATAAGTCCAAAAACCATAATTAATTTTTTTTTATAGAATACTGTATTTCCGAATTTTACAAAATTCAATATAGTTCAAATACATTGTAACTTCAATTTAAAGCTTTATTTGATGCTTAGTTCTGCGTACACTATTAGGGTAAATTTTACAAATGGTCATATAATTATGATTTTTTTTTTACTAAAGTCATATAACTTTATTTTCTCACACAAAAATCATAAAATATTTACTTAACTCAAACAAAAATCATAGTGACCGAAAACTACAAATTTTCAGTATTATTTTCTTATTCCACAATTTTTCGTTTTTTATTTTCTATCTAATAAATAATAATTCAATTAAAATAGGAACGATCCGACCCGACCCATCTGACCTAATACCCATATATATAAATTAAAATAATACTGAAAGTGAATCCTTCAAAATACGATACTTCTATCTTTTATTTTTTTTTCAAGATTCTCATTCAAATTTATACCCTTTTTTTTTCAAGTACTCTCTCAAACCTTTTTTTATTTTGGTCAGAATCTCATGCCTTCCAAATTAAGTTTTTTGTGGGGAAAGGATTCATTTTTAGTATTATTTTGATATAATGCATATGGGTATTGGGTTGGTTTGGATTAGGTCATTCCTATTTTAAGCGAAAAAATTAATGCAAAAATGATCGGTCGACCGAAACTAATTGCATTCGCTAATAAAAAAAATATAGNATATATATATATATCGGCTAATATTTTTTTGAGCGGCTAGTAATATATATTTCTCCTATTTTAATTGGATTATTATTTATTAGACTGAAAAAAATAGAAAAAAGTGGAATAAGAAATTAAAAGACTATCGAAAAATTATGTTTTCCGGTCACTATGATTTTTATGTGAGTTAGTGAAAGTTTTATGATTTTTGTGTGGGAAAACAAAATTGTATGACTTTGGTGAAAAAAAAGTATAGTCTATTGCGGAATATCGTGGATGTTAGCACACAATCACACACAAAGCAAATAGAGAAGAAAAATCAACACAAGGATTTAACGAGGTTCGGCTAAGCCTAATCCTCGGGGAAAAATCAGAGAGAGTTTTTCACTATGAATAAGAAGAAAAACACAATACAATCTCTACAACCTCAACTATAGGTTTTTCTTTCCCAAATTTATTAGGACAATGGGTTTTCCTAAACCTATAGGGACTATGGCTTTCCTAAAAACACAAGGAAATAATTCAAGCTACAAAATAACAAATCTTCCCCTTGGCTTGAATTCTCTTCATCAACAGGAACAACGTCTCTCTACCTTACCCTTAGCCCTTGAGAAAGCTCTATTGGGTACTGCACACACCCATCATGTCTAGGCAATGCCTAAACTTGTTAAGAGACTCAATCTCTTCAGCCATAGTACTAATCCATCGATTTGGTTCTGTATCCGGAATAGCTTCTGGATAGCTATAACACTCAAACGCATAAATGGTCTCTGCAACTACCAAAGAAAATCTCATAGGATTCATAAGTCCAAGAAGGATCAACTACGTTTGCAAATCTTTGCGGTCGGTTGATCACTCTCTTCTCTCTGCCTGTTGCAGTGCTATAGGGTTGTTGCGCAGGTGCATCAACATTATCATCTTGATCGATATTTTGCACCTCCTCCACTTCCTCTACTTTAGAACTATTGGGTTGAGCTAGTGGAGATTCAATTTCTAGCTTTATGCGGTCACCGACACCACAATCTGTTTCTACTATTGTCTTCTCCGTCTGACTGTCTAGTGAGGCAGATTCATTGAATGTTACATTCCTATTAATAATTAGCCCTGAAGTCTTTTGATCTGTGCACCACAACCTACCTTTCACTCCAGTTGCACACCCTAGAAATATCCACTTCTTTTCCCTCGGCTCAAGTTTTCCATCCTTCACATGAGCATAAGCAGGACAACCAAATACCCTTAAATCTGAATAATCAGCAGGAGAACCAGACCATGCCTCAAAAGGAGTTTTGAACTCAATAGTTGTGGATGGAGATCTGTTGACCAAATAACAAGCAGTATTGATTGCTTTAGCTCAAAAATCTTTGCTAACACATGAGTGTGAAAACATGTTTCGTGCCCTATCACAAAGCGTTCTATTCATACGTTCTGCAATACCATTTTGTTGTGGTGTTCCGATACAAGTGCGTCATCTCACTATGCCCCCTCTGCTGCAGAAATTATCGAACTCAGAATTGCAAAATTCCAACCCATTGTTAGTTCGAAGATGCTTAACTTTTCTTTTCGTCTGCCTCTCAACCATCGTCTTTCATTTACAAATATCAAAAATGCCTCATCTTTTGTTTTCAAAAAATACACCCACACCATCCTTGAGTAATCATCAATCAAAGTTATAAAATACCTGGCACCACTCTTGGAGGGAACTCTGTTTGGAACCCACAAGTCAGAGTGTATATAATCTAACTTGTCTATGGTCTTGAGCTCGGCCTTCTTGGTGAACTTCACCCTTGTCTGTTTACCAAACACACAATGCTCACAAAAATTCAAAACATGATTTTTGTACCTATTCAGCAAATTTGTCTTACTCAACAAAGACAATCCATTATCACTCATATGGCCAAGTCGCAAGTGCCACAACTGAGAGTCTGAGACTGATTCAGATCACTTTTCGTATAAGCTATAATAGCTTCTCCTTAAACTACACTGACCTGAAGATGATACAATTTAGAATGTAGTTTACCCTTCATGAGTACCATGGAGCCTTTACACACTTTAAGTATTCCATTTTTGGAGTGAAATTTATACCCTTGATCATCCAAAGTCGAAAGAGAAATCAAATTTCTCTTTATCCGAGGAACATGCCAACACTTAATATTTCTGATAATTCCATCGAACATTCTCAATTTGATGTAACCAACCCCATCTACTGGTAATGGATTATTATCTCCCATATAGACAGTCCAACTCATTTGCTTGTAAGTTACAAACCAATTTTTGTGTGTACACATGTGGAAAGTAGCACCAGAATCAAGAACCCAAGAATTCTTCCCATGACTAGAACTCACACCACAGACTTCCCCTACATAGTCACTATCATCAGAATTATTGCCAGTGTCAATAATATTTGCCGAATTATCTATTTTCTGCTTTCATCTTTTCTCCTTCAGCTTAGGACTATCTCTCTTGTAGTGACCTTGCTCCCCGCACTCATAACAGTGTTGCTTCCTTACTCTAGACTTTGATCTAGCGGTTGACTTTTTCCTATCAAAGTTCTTTTGTTGTGTTCTTCCTCTAATCACAAGACCCTCGCCCTCAATTCTGCTATCTGGAAAGCTCTTTTTCAACTCTTAGATTTTAGTGCATTACTAACATCTTTCCGTGAAATGCTATCTTTCCCATATAGCAGCGTATCAGCAAAAGTATCATAAGACGGTGGTAAAGAACATAACATAATCAAAGCCTGATCCTCACTCTCAGTTTTGATATCCACATTCTTTAGGTCCACTATAATTGAATTAAACTCATCAATGTGAGTTTTAACAGGTGTACCTTCATTCATACGAAGATTGTATAACTTCTTTTTCAAGTAGAGGCGATTTCTTAGCGATTTCTTAGAATACAGATCTTCTAGCTTCTTCCATACCGTTGCTGCAGAAGTTTCTTCAGCAATTTCCTGAAGAACGCTATCTGTAACGCTCATGAAGATCGCTCTCAAAACCCTCTCCTTCAGGTCTGCCTTCTCTGTCTCTTTCATCTCTTCAGGAAAATCCTCATCAATTGTCTTCCATAACCCTTGTAACACCAGGGACGATTTCATCCTAATCTTTCATAGACTGAAACTAGAACCCTCGTCAAATTTCTCTACTTCGTACTTTGTTGAAGATGATGAAGACATCTTAACCCTAGATTATATGTAGAAACACGAACCTTGCTCTGATACCAATTGTTGCGAAATATCGTGGGTTAACTAGCACACAATCACACACAAAGCAAATAGAGAAGAAAAATCAACACAAAGATTTAACGAGGTTCGGCTAAGCCTAATCCTCCGGGCAAAAGTAGAGAGCGTGTTTCACTATGAATGAGAAGGAAAACACAGTACAATCTCTAGGATCCCCAACTACAACCCCTATATATAGTAACATATAAGAAACAAGTTTCCAATTTGACAAGGACTATAGGTTTTCCTTTCCCAAATCTATTAGGACAATGAGTTTTCCTAAACCTATAAGGACTACGGGTTTCCTAAAAATACAAGAAAATTATTTAAGTCACAAAATAACAGTCATATGACCAATTATGAAATTTATCCCACACTATTAATATACTAGTATTTTTGTTTGTTCAATTACGTCGTATGGTGGCGAGCCCTATCATTAAACATTAAACCAGCAAAATACAAATAAAGCTTAAATTCAAATGATATATACAGTTTAAAAGACTTTACAAAGAAGAAATGAGAAAAAAAAAACAAGTTGAAATAAACCATAGCCAAACTAATTAATTAAATTCATTTCACTCTCCAAAAGCTCCCAAGTCATTCTACTAATGACAAATATTGTGACGGTCACCGTACTAGTAGAACCTATTGATTTCTTGATCGAGGAACATCTAAAATTTCAGAAATTAAGAAGCTGAAAATACTCTTTGTAAACCTCCTTTAGCATGTAACAGCAGCTCGTTGGCTCTAAGCATTCAGTTGAAAAATCACATCCATTCAGCAATTCATCAAACAACTGAATCTTCTCATAAATTTCAGTCTCTTTTTCTTCAACCTGCACGGACGATGACAACGAACTTGAAATAGATGGCTCTTGTATTTTTTCTTCTTCCTTATTTTTATTGTCAACTTCCTCAGAACTCAACATGGTAATAATATTATGCTCTGCTTTATCTTGAAAACTACTTTGGCTTGAAGAAAGTGAATATAGCCTTATTGGTTTTGGAATATGCACTTGGATCTTCTTAACTAGTTCATCTTTTTCCATCTCTCTCTCGGGCTTTTTTGCCTTTCCTGCCCGTCTTCGTTTCTCTTGTTTCTTTTTAGATGGTTTTGTTCCTTTTGCAGTTAACTTTTTAGGTTTTGGTTGTATTCCTGCAGCTTTGAGTTTCTTCAAGAGATTGGTATTCCAATGATTCTTTATCTCGTTATCAGTTCTACCTTGCAATCTTCCAGCAATTAGAGACCATCGACCACCAAGGAGTGAATGAAGTCGGATTATAAGATCATCCTCCTCACGACTGAAATTTCCTCTCTTAATGCCTGTTTGATGCATATTATATAATATTAGTATTAAGTAATGAAATGTTTGAAATAAGTGCAATATAATATTAGTATGAAGTAATGAAATGTTTGAAATAAGTGCAATTAAAAGTGTGTTGAGACAAAATATTAAGTGTAACCAAAAGTGTGTTCTTTCCAACAATTTAAACTATTAGATAATATGGTCACACACTTCAACCATACCTGGTCGAAGATAGTTCACCCATCTTAATCTGCAACTCTTACCACATCTAAGAAGGCCTGGATATCGAAAAACTTATTAAACATGAGCACAAGGATGATAAAATTAAAAACATTATACCTATGATTATCAAGTGAAAATTTGTTGAAATAAGAAAGTTGTGTTTTTATGGATGTATTACCAGCATTCATAGGCAAAGATCTCCAGTTTCCTTCACCATTTAGCTGAATGTAATTAGTGAGAAGCATGTCTTCTTCTGCAGTCCATGCACCTTTTCTCATTCCCACTTTAGAACAACATGGTGCTCTTCCCATTCTCTTCCCCTTGAGATTTTTCAGAAGAGAGAGACACTAAAGGGACCAAACTTTCTCAGCTCCAAGGCGGAGAGTCTTTAAAAAAGATTTAATCTAGCTACCTTAAACACACTAGTTTGGTCTGGCTTATACTTATTATAGTAATAGGAGACACAGGTGAAGATACCTGATAAGTCGTTTTACTTTTTGTTTCACGTGAATCAATTGTTTCGAGAAAGGATTATTACATTAAAAGTTAAAGAGCCACATGTTTTATTGAATAAGCAACTTGTCCTTCCATCTTGTAACTAAAATATTACACAGAAGCCAAAGCTATTGATGAAAATTATAACTACGTACGATGAAAGGAAAGAAGAAATAAATTGACACATAAACGTACGAAAAAATGCAAACATATCGAAAGTACTTTTAGAATTGTGTAGGGGTAAAATCGGGAACAAAGTTATCTCCGATTTTCCGATGAAGAAATAGGGGACGATGTGGTTTATTTGCAAGCTCGAGTAGAGCCGAGGGTTCCCTAGATCAGAGCCCAGGGATGAATGATACACCGGGATTCGGACATGGCCGAACATGAAAGGAATCGAGCTCGAGTAAAATGAAGAATCGAGGCTAAAGGAAAGATGGTTATAAAGGACAAACGGGGGGCCAAAATATCCGTCCTCAACCGGATATTACGGCACTAATCTCACCCGATATCAGTTGTGTATCATGATTTACTAGAAGGGAAAAATTTTTACCTTATAATTTAGACTTGTACTAGGTCCCACGGTGTGGGATAATACTGGGTATGTTGTTGTTTGTAGTTGTTGTTAGACTTATACTAGGATTGAAATTCTCCTACTATATAAAGGGGAGAACATGTTCATTTTTCACATACTGTCGGCACGTATATCAAAGCAATAAAGTTCATTTTTGTTCTTTAGCTAATGTTTAAAGTGTTCTTCAGCTATTTAATTATTTAGTTGCAACCGAGCCCGTCTCGAGGGCTCGACCGGAGCCAATTTCCAGTGTTCATCCTAAAAGCAGGCTTTATTGTCTCACGTTTGGTTTGATCGTTTTGTTTCCCTTTAATTTAATTATTTGTTGTTCACAGATCATTCATGTTAAATTAAATCACGTATCCTTTAAACCACGTACAAATTCAATTGTTACTCATTTTAAGGATAAACAGTTTGGCGTCCACCGTAGGGCTAAGGATAATAGTTGTGATTTAATACTAATTGCTATACCACACCTTATTTTACACTTGCTCTTTGAAGTTTGATTTCAGGTCTATTTAGAAGGTCAAATTCTCAGTCTGCTCATTTGAATTTTGACATCGAGTCAGGCCACAACGGTGAAAATAACAACCAAGCAATAGCGTGCCCCCTGTTGACCCTAATGGCGTTCCAATCGCTGACCCAGTCGACATTAATTCATAGGTTGCCATAGATATCAATCTACCAATTGATCCTGAAAATAGCACTCGCGGGGCACCCCGGCCATCGGCTCGAGAAGCACCCTAAGGGGGAGATGATGGAGTTAGTTTGCAATTGATTTTCGAAATGTTACAAACTCAACAAGTGGCACTAGCACAGATGCAGAGTCAAAACCACGCACTAAACACGGCCGAACCCGAGCTGGTTGGGGAAGATGCTCGGAGAAACGAATGGATTGTCACAAAACCATATGGTTTCGAACCCGGAGATACCTTAGAGGTAATGAAAATGCTCGAGACACTAAAAATGGGTGGAGTCAGGTGAAACGAAGATTGAAGCAAATGACAAAAAATTAGAAACTTACAACTCGAGGGTCGATCAGATCTCGGGAGCGCCTCCAATATTGAAAGGACCAGATTCCAAAAAGCTCATTCAGAAACCCTTTCCCCCGAATGAGGCACCGAAGCCAATTTTGAAGAGGTTCTGAATGCCCGATATTCCCTAGTATAACGGGACCACAGATCCAGATGAGCATGTAACCTCCTACACGTACATTATAAAAGGCAATGACCTCAAAGATGACGAGATCGAGTCGGTATTCTTTGAAAAATTTGGAGAAATGTTCTCCAAGGGAGCTATGATATGGTACCGTAACTTACCTCCAAATTCTATAATTTGTTTGCTATGCTTGCAGATGCCTTCATTAAAGCCCTTGCCGGCACTATTAAGGTCGAGACGAGGAAATCGGACCTCTTCAAAGTCATGCAAAGGGACAACGATATGCTTAGGGAGTTTGTGTCCAGGTTCCAGGTGGAACAGATGGACCTGCCCCCGATTGCAGATGATTGGGTCGTTCAGGAGTTTACTCAAGGGCTCAACCCCCAAAGTTTCGTTGCTTCTCAATAATTGAAGTAAAACTTGGTAGATTACCCGGCGGTGACTTGGGCCGATGTTCATAACATGTACCAGTTAAAGATCAAAGTCAAGGACAACTAGTTGGAGGGCCATCGAGGTCTGTTTACCCCAATAGAGTGAACGACAGGTCTAAAAAAATTATGGATCAGGAGCCAAGGCTGACCCGATATCGGTATCAGCTATACAGCTCAGATAGAAGGGGAAACAGACCCGGTCGCCACCCGACCAGGAACATTAGGAGAAGTGACCAAGGTCCTAGCAAGTGAGGTTTGACGAGTAAGAATGGTTTCGACAGATCACTTGGGGGCACAGAAGCCCCGAGACTATCGGAATATAACTTCAACGTTGATGCAACGAGTATAGCATCGGCCATCAGACATATCAAGGAGACCAAATGGGCAAGGCCACTCCAGTCCAATCCCGCACAAAGGGATCACAACTTGATATGTAAATACCACGTTACTCACGATCACAGGACCGAGGATTATCGACAGCTAAGGGAAGAAGTGGCTCATCTATTCAACAATGGGCATCTTCGGGAATTCCTAAGTGAGCGAGCCAAAAATAATTTCAAAAATAGGGATGCCAACAAAAATATTAAGCAGGAAGAACCTCAACACGTGGTCAACATGATCATTGGGGGAGTAGATGTAACACAAGGGCCAATGATAAAGCGGGTACCAAAGTTTCTATCACAAGGAAAAAAGGCACTCAGGACTACGTTCCAGAGGGGTCCATCTTGTTCAGCGATGAGTACACCAAGGGCATCATTCAACATCATAACGATGTGTTGGTAATATCCATAATTATTGATAAATCTTGAGTTAAGCGTGTGTTAATTGATCCAAGTAGCTCGGCCAATATCATCCGATGGAGAGTCATGGAACAACTGGGTTTATTGGACCAAATCGTACTGGCAGTACAAGTATTGAAAGGGTTCAACATGGAATGCGAGACAACGAAGGGTAAAATAACCCTACTGGTAAACACTATTATGACCACCAAGGAAATAAAATTTTATGTAATCAAGGGGGACATGAGATACAATGCCTTGTTCGGGAGGCTCTGGGTCCACAACATGAGAGAGGTGTCTTCAACCATGCATCAGGCGTTAATATTTCCCACCCCAGGCAGAATCAAAGGGTCTACAGAGAACAACCGACCTCAAAGGAGATGTTCGCTGTCAAGGAGGTGATCTCGGTGCCCGCAATCACAACATCAAGCGGTAAGGGACTGGTCGAAGAGAAAGGCACCAAATAGCAATCACCGGTCCTGATCTTGATCGGGCCGGAGAAATAGGGGGAGCACTCTGTTACACCCCATATCTTCGTACATGAAAGCATGTCATAAGTGAATTGATGAAAACTCGGGAATGAGATGTTACAACCCGCATTTTCAGACGTTAAGGTTTCATCGTAAAGTTAATCGACGCAAGCTCGGAAATGAGATTATTTTAAGGTTACAAGTATTATGCTATTTCAAATAAGGGGTAATTAAATTCGTGAAGATGAGAGGGTAAGCAAATCGAAGAAAATGAGTTTCGCCGATGCTTGGCAATTTGGGATAAAATACGGCCTGACTCGATAATACCCAATATTTATGGACTAGTGCCATACAAGGTACTACATGACCATGATAGTAAGGTATACAAGGTATGTTAAAAGTGAGTAGTAGTTTAAATAAGTTGAGATAATTCTTAATTATGTGGGTAATGAATTAATTATTGGGTAATAGATATTACCTAATTAATTAGGGATGTATTGGATAAGAATTAAATAGCATGATGTAGCAGCCCCATATTCAAAGTAAATGACTCACAATATTGATTGAAAGGTGGAATACATATAACACTTACATATAAGACATTTAGTAAGTTTGGTAAGTTTGATTAAGTAAGAAATGACATAACCTTCTTCTTAATTTAGATATTTTTCAAAACAGGCATTAGAACCCCCCCCCCCCCAAGCTTTTTAACAAAATTTCTTAGGTACAAACCATTTCATATCTAACATTTTCAATACAAACCACCCTACCCTACAGTCATATATGATTTCCTTACAAAATTCCTACAAGATTCCTACAATTCCTTACAAAATACTACACTTCATAACAGAACGTTAGCCATTCTTCAAGTTTTCAACAAAAACTTCTTGCAACCAAGTGA